AGGCATCTCACAGCTCAACTGTTGCATTATAAATGTAACGGGGACTTCCTCGTGTTTTTTGTTTTCATTATTACGAAAGAGTAACAACCTTGGGAGCAAGTTTCCATCGTGTTTGTTTACAAAGTCGAGTCAGAAGAACTCCCTTTAAAGTAAGTATAGTATACGGGGCCTGATTTAACTGGTTTGACATTACAGGAATACGCTCACTTGCTTTCTTGCAACAAAAAAACAAAAGAGTTCCAAAAGCTAAATATTTCTGAACCAACAATAGTTGATTTACACTTTGGTTTCTGCATAAACAAACAACATATCATGTGTTCGTGCACATTTAATCAGTGAAGTCAATTACTACATCAGAGAGCAAAGTCTAATCGATGACAATCACACTTGATCTTCACCGGTGTTCTCCTGTACTTGTGATACGTCACTGCTCACTATCATAAGATATATAATTTTACAACACAGAACATGGTTCTAAGCTCGCTCCACTGGACTGCATTCATCAACCTCACTGTCAGCTCCACCAGGTCCCAGAGCTCAACACCAAGACACCAGCAGCTATAAATACCCGGTGAATATGTTGAACACGTACAAACGGAGAACGGGTTACCATCCAGCCATGTCAGCAGTCAACTCACATATGTTGGATGTGTTGCTCATGAGTCTATAGTGTCAGAATGCAGACATGACAGCAGCTGCATAGCTGCAAGGTCACAAGAGACCGCCGAGCATGAGCTACAATGAGACACATCTGCTGCTCAGACCGAATGCTCTGTGAGGTACAAGTACACGGAGTTTACTGCGTATTACTGTAGAGAACCAACAAGAATGTACTCCGTGAGGAGAGGATTTAGTACAATAGTATAATATTACAGTACATCAGAGTGTAATCAGAGTGTAATGTCAGTCTGCCTGTTTGTTGGTCAGAATATCACTTTAGTCCACACAGACATCTTTCTGATTGTAGGGTCGGGCAATATATCGATATGAATCAATATTGTGATGCGAGACTAGATATCGCCTTACGTTTTGGATATCGTAATATGGCAAAAGTGTTGTCTTCTCCTGGTTTTAAGGGCTGAATTACAGTAACTTACTAGCTGTTCTACTATTTGCCTTCACCTGCTTACTCATTGTAAACACATTACTGATGATTATCAAGCAAATATTTTGAAAAGCACCAAAGGTCAACCCAACATTATCGCAATATCGATATCAAGGTATTTGGTCAGAAAAATATGGTGATACTTTATTTTCTCAGCACGAGTGGGTTGCGATGAAATTTTGTCCAGACATTCGTGGTTCCCAGGGGATGAACCCGACTGACTTTTCCTCTAGCACCACCACGAGGTTCACACTGGTGGTTTTGAGTGAAATGCTTCGAGAACAGTTGGATGGATCGTCATGAAATGTATGAAAGAAATCAAAGTTCCCTTAAAGATGCATTATTCTCATCTAGTACCATCATCAAGTCGATACGTCCATTAGTCCAATACTTTGGTTTACACCTTCCCATCAGCCTCAGCTGTACTTTGTGTTTAGTGAATGTTAGCATGTTTGCATGCTGACTTTAGCGTTTAGCTCAAAGTACAGCCTCACTCATTTCTCTGAAAATGACTCAGAATAATTCTACTGTTCAGCGATCAAAATGTACGAGCGGTTGAAGACTGTGGTCTTTTGTTTCTGTAATGTTTCTGAGTGGGTAGTTTGATGGTTTCTTAGGATTATTTCTCTACGGATCATCTGAGGGATGTTTCACTTATTATTCAATCGGTAGCCCACCTAATGTCCTAATGTCCTAATGTCCAGCCCTAAAGGACAATGGGGATCACACAAGGGGACATTGCAAGATAATTTGGATGGTTCCTATAAAACCTTTTACCTTACATATACACATTCACCACTTTATAGCACTATGTTACAGCCCATTAAGCTCCATACTACTGCATATATTTTAGACATGGGTGGCCACAGTGGCATTTAAAGCCCCGGCAGTGCTAGTGTTAGCATTATGCTCCAACCATAAAGCAGGTGCACGTATCAGCATTGTTTTAGTAACAGGCAAAAATACTGCAAGTAGACTTCAAACGCCTCGCCGTCCACTCGCCTGGCTGCACAGTTGAGAAGCTCGACATGGTGTGTGGGACAATGGCGGCTCTGGAAAGCATTGTGGTAATCAGGGACGATGGAATTTTCCCTGCATCATTAAAAAGGGATTGGTCCGCTCACAGCGTTCATGGGAAGTACCGTTAGTTAACCCAACAAAGGTGCTCTGGCTGTGGACCCCCAGAGATGAAGGGCATCGCAGGGGCTCAATGAATCCACCTCTAATCCCCTCGGCCCCTTTGTGCCGATACACTCTAAAGCCTTGGACCACTTCCCACTCTGATCTCTGCAGATCTGGGCGAGTTAAACAAGTTCCTGATCTGTGGGCCCGCCCCCCCCCCCTCCCCCTCCTCCTCCTCCTCCTCCTCCTCCTCCAGCAGAGAGATTTTGACTCCCTTTTTACAGCAGTAAAAATATATATTTTATACCATTCAAGACCTTTTTCAACCCAGTATTACAAAGTACTTTACAGCAGTCACAGATAGAAGATGGTTCATCTAGAGACGGAACGATTTCTGGATTATTTGATGAGTGGAGTGTCCATTAGTGCTCTTCTTTAACTAATGTGGTGGTAAAGAAGTGAATGATGTGGGATTTGGACTGAAGACATCGCATCAGGCTTTTGGTTATATTTCACGTTTTATAGACCAAACAACTAATTGAAAAACAAGTGGTAGAATATTTGATGATGAAGCTGCAGCCTCAGTTTCAACATAATTAACAATTAACTGACTAAGAACAAGTGAAGTGAAAAGCTGTGAGAATCTGCTTTGAAGGTAATTTAATTATGAAACAGAGGATGAGAGGGAGCGCTTCTGTTTAGGGATCATCAATAAACAATCAGTTTGTTTAAACATTAAAAACTGACGAGGGACTTAAATATTGAATGAAACAATTACATAAACTGGGGAAAGCTCCACTTTCTCACATTGGAGAAGCAAGAAACAGGAACTATTTGGCATTTCTGCTCCATGAATTATTTAAAACGATAAATCGACAATCACAATATTTGCCAAATCAATTTCTTGTCCATCAACTAGCAGTTTCAGCTCTGATATGCGATGGTGACATAATATAGAAATCATGAGTTAAAGGTGTCACAATATTCACATAAAACATGAATATTAATGTCCACATTTAGGTCTTCCTGCTCGATGGACATTCATCCACCTCCCTGTCAGCTGCACCACTTTCCCCCTGTCAAGAGGATTTTGTGTTTGTGTGTGTGAATACATGAATGCCAAGCTGCTGGGAGGAGGAGGCGGAGCTTTTAACAGCAGAGAGCTGGTGGTCGTGACGAAGCACTCGACAGGCCCAAAGGCAGCCCCTAATCTCACGTTGACCGTGGCTTGTTTAGCATTCCCCCATTGCTGCTGGTGACGACGACACGCGTCTGGAGCTGGGTGGACTCAAGGAGCAGAAGGTGTGTGGTAGTGTGTGTGTGTGTGTGTGTGTGTGTGTGTGTGTGTGTGTGTGTGTG